TCCAGCAAAATACGACAATAGGAAAAGTTCAGCTATTTCATATTTTGTCAGTCTGTGTCTTTACTTGTATTCCAGGCATAGAAAATGCTCAAATATTTGACAGGAATTTGCACAAAGCTATATTTACTATAAAGATGAACTTGGACTATCACGGGCCCAATTGTGTCTGCTATATGCAACTTTTTATCTTCAGTATAAATATTAAATATTTCCAGCCAGTCCTTGTGCAATCTAACCTTTAATACAGAAGTAGAGATGGTTTCTGTCTGAAAACATGTGACTGCACTAAAAAAACGTTGTGCACTGATGTTGAAGTGTTAACATAAATATGCCTCAGCATGGACACAAATGGTTGAACAACCAGCTGGTTACCACTGCTATGATCCACAGGCCCCCGGCTACAAATACAACCCAGGTTATTTTTATGAGTTTACAGTGGATGCGCTGTTGCTCTGAGTTTAACTCACTAAATCAAAGCCCAACGCTTCAGTGTCTAGAGGAAGAAGGTGTGGGTGGGTAGAGGAACAGCAGACACTGGGAGTGACTCAGATCAGCTGGATATCAGCCTGCATTCAGAAAGAGGAAAGCTCTGGCTGCTCCAACACTCTTTAAATTTGGTGCTGAAAAAATTGGCACTGCAGGGAGCCAAGGTGGAAGATGGATGAGAGAAATAAAGTTCTGCTCAGGGTTTGGGGGCTAAAATGAGTAAATGTGGTGTGTCATCATGTTGGGATTAAAACCCTGTAAAGTTAGGGGTAATGGGAGGAGGAGAATGATACATGATTCACACAGAAGCTGGGCTTTTTATCAACCAGAATCTCACATAGAACTCCTTTGTGTAGTGATCAATAACTTTGTAGCTAAACTGATCTATTTGCTTGTTCCTCGCACTTCACTGTAATCCTTTTGGATTTTCCTCACCAGTGTTTCTTCGCAACCAAATGATTTCAAATCTGTTAGACTGAAACCCAAATGAAAAAATATGAAAACTATAAGCTGCCTGTAGAATTGTGTACCCATGCAATATCTCAACAAATCTAACTTTATTGTTCATTGCCTTGGCAGGGATAAATGAGAAAAGCTGGCAGAGGTAAGGTCATTTTTCATGTCACTTTTTATTCAGCACTCTCTCATCTCTCTTTCCTTTCTCCTGTTTCTCAGTGCTTTCTCTTTTTTGCCTAACTTAGCAAATGTAAGATCCTTCAGCTCTCTTGTTTTCCCTCCATCATTCTCACTTCTTTTCTCCCAGCCTCCTCTCTGCTTTCTCTCATCTCTCTATCTCCTTCAACATCTCATGCCTCCTGCTTCCTCTCTCCTCCCTGCCTTCACCCTCCCCTCCCTACTTTCCTTTTCTTTCCTCTGTGTAAAATGTGTAGCTCATTAGTTTGCTCGCCACACCGTCCTGTGTCAGTCTGTCCTTCACATCTCACTGCACTGCTAAGAAGTCATTTATGCCTCCATGCGGCTCCCTGCGTCAACCTCCTCCATCCTCTCTCCCCCATTTCCCTCCTTAAACCCCAACTCCATATGGTTTCACCATTACTTTGCAGTACTCCAGGAAAAAGACATCCCCGCCCCCACAGCCGCCCTCTGACACCATGTACGACAGGAAGATTTGACTGGTGAGGCTCAGAACGAGCAGGTGGAGGGGAGGCATGAAGGGAGGGTGGGATGAACCAAACAGAGTGATACAGCAAAGGAAGAGGAGGTGAGGTAGGAGTCGGAGGAAGAAAGCTGGAACTGATTCCAAAATTTGTGTAAATGTAAATGGGATATAATAAAGAGACTGTTTGGCATTCATGGGAGTGGGTGGCAAAGCAGCACAAGGAAATTACAGCTAGAATGGTGATGCTAATGCTCCCCCTCCTTTTCCCTCTCTCTTCTTACTTGCTCTCTTGTCACCTTTTTAAAAATATTTTCCAAGTGATTTATACAAAGAACTTGATATATGTATCATCATGTTTACTGAAATACAGTAATGGTCTTGTTTCAGTTTACTCACGATGTACTAACTCAGTATTAAACCCTCAGCCTTTTCTGTTGAACAAAACTCTGGTATACTCGCAGGAATTGAAGAAAGACACACAAGCTTCCTCCAACACCTGTGAGTTACTCCCTTTTTGTTTTGTATGGCCATCTACTGCCACCTAGTGAAATAGTATTTCATTTAATTTCACCTGTTACTGACAAATAGATGAAACATGACAAATTATTTGTAAATAAATAATAGTTTTCAGATCAATTAGGTGAAACTGGATCATTTCCAACTTGAAGAAGTGGTATTTTTTTAAATAAAAATCCTATTAATTGCTCGTTGTTAAATTATTTTTAAAACTTGTATTTTTTTTAGAGGGCAAATTGTGTTGGCTTTATTTTTGTGCCTTGGAAATGAAATGTTTTCCCTGAAAGGTAGTAACTTTAAACATCTTCTACTCTGTGATAAATCTGACTGCAGCCTCTCCTCGGCCCCAAATGGTTTCACTCCTCCATGCAGTTTTCTAGTAAGTGAATCCTTTATCAATTTTCCTTGATATTGACAGGAGTGAGAAGTCGGGATTGTTATGGTACCTTCCCTGCTCTCCTGACACTTTCCAGTCAATAGAATGTGTCATGTCAAATCTTCTTTCAGATTGAATCATTTCTAAGCCCAGATTGAAGTATCTGACAGCAGCAGTCACACCGTAACATCAATGCCATTTATAATTTTCACCTACTTTCACTCCACATCAACATCCACGCCACTAACACTATCCAACCTGACAATTCTCTGAACGTCTGTAGACAAAGTTGGCAGCGTTACCACTTTGTTTTCCACCATGGGATCATTAGGGAACTGTATTTGTATTTAACTGACTTACAGTGACTGTTTTTCAATCCAATCCCAGTTCAGATATTTTGTCAGGTGGATGGGAAAACACTGTAGTTATAAAAAGTGACTACCGAATTACAAAGTTACAATGACATCTATTGTCATTAACTATGTCATAAATTAACTATGTCATAAATAGACAAAACAGTGCCCCCACCTTAATAGTATGGACAAAACAGTGCCCCCACCTTAATAGTTGGGGTATTACAGCTAACCTTTTAAACCGTTCTAGTTTGGCAGCACCAAATAACAAGCCTGCAACAATAACGCACTAATAATCATCATCATCATCATCATCATCATCCAATAATCCACTTTATACCACATCTATATAGAGCTGGATAATACAACTACACACATGTCTACATAAGAAACCATTACACAGCCTCCTGAGCTCCGTCTTAGCACAGTAGACTTTCAGTGATTTATTTGTCCAGGTGACTCATTGTCTGTTCACACTAAATGACAGGGTTGTATCTATTAAAGTCAGATTCTCAGCCTATTATCAAATGTCAAGGACACATTTGCCTTAATGTGAAAATGAACTCTCACAGAGGTTGCATTCTGTGAAGTTGAGCACTCAGGTCCAAACATGGATTTCTCACTCAGTCACTGGAACTGCAATTTAAACACATAATGATGAATCATTTTTTCTTAATTACACATTATTTCTTACTGCTTTGAAGTCATAGCCGTTTCACATGAAGCAGGCCATTACATGTATGTTCCTCGACAGCATGTCCCCAACCCTCTCAGTAAGAAATATCTTGGTAAAACATCGTAATTTCCCTTTACTTGCACTTTCTGTGCAATTTTCCCACGTGTTCAGATAAGGACATTGTGCATACAGTATGTGTGACACAAATGCTGGCTGGGTCAGTCACTGTTACATTATATCCATTAGTCTCCATGACAACAATGCTTGAAGTCCCTACCTTAGATCATACGACCGTATAGAAGTAAACGTGGCAGCAGTATACTGTGTTGTGGAATATTTTTCATATCCATGTGTCATGTTCCAGGCGTATTAAAGTGCACAGTCTGCTATTCTATATCTTCCTGTTGATTTTATGCAATTGTTGGAAGTCAGTTTGTGGAAGTCATCGGACAGTATACTGAAGTCATGGGCATAAATGTAAATAAATGCAATAATAGCACATCCAACAGGGGAGGAAGGGAAGGGTACATTTTGGAACTAAAACATTATCCCACCACTTGGTATTTTTCCTTCCTCAAAAAATTGGTCTCAAAATAGTTTCATTGTCCGTCATTTTCTCCCATGTGGTGTTTGTTCTCTTTGTCGCCGTTCTTGAGAATGACTAAACAACAAAGCATTTGCACGGTAAAACAATAAAGCAAATGCATAAATTTTGTGGACAGGCTTATGTAGGACGGCATGTACAGTAGGTAGTAAAACTACATTACCTTGGCTGTGATATATGACTGTTTTTCTAGTGTCTACCTGCTCGGCAAAGAGAAATGTTTATGAGTGTTTGTGTGTGTATTAGTGCTCTCAATCATGCATGCATTGTGCCCTATGTGTGAGCGAGGGTCGATCAGCTCCACAGTCTGCTTGCGATGACAGAAATAATAGAGTTAGTGAGTAAACAGAGAGAAAAGAACAGGAAAAATGCAGCAATGGAGGAACGTAGCCGATGTGTGTGTGTGTTAGCAGATTGCGATATTTTATGTAAATCCTAACCTTTCCACCAGTGCTGGCTATCAGCCTTGTTGACAGAATGCTGCGTATCTGTCCAGTTGACAAGACGACTAGCGAGAGAACGGGAGGGAGAGGGAGAACAGACCTGTCAGCGCTGACTAATTACATCGCAAGCAAACAGTTGAGTCCTCTGTTTACATTTGGACAGTCAGGGGAGGCTGAGATGAGCATCATTAATCAGATTCTTCAATTGCATGCTAGCAACACACACACACACGGACGGACGCACACGCGCATGCACTCATAAGATTACAAATCGCCATCAGTTATGTTTTTGACTCCACATAAAGGACGCTCTTTCTAATTACTAAAGAGTTTGCTGTGATGAAATCCAATAAAGGGCAGGCGCGCACGTGGTCAATCAGAACTCCCTGTAGGTTTCTGGAGCCCAACGAAGGGCCACAGCAGAAAAAGTAAAAGTCAATGGGGGCACGGCTCATTTGTCCTAAAATCATTTGCACACTGTTTCATTAGGCTGCATAAGATACCATAAGGTTTGATTTAAAAAATAAATAAATAAATAGATAGATTTCCCATTGACTCCAGTAAGTATCATCGGGGAATTATACGTTTTTGGCCGGACGTCCAAAAGTAGATCAATGGTGGAGAGTTCTTTATTTATTTATTTTTTAAGCTGATTGGAATAATTGATTTCGAGATCACTGAAGGAGTTCCCTTTGTAACAGAGTTCTGAGTCTGAACAAAAAGGCAGAGAAAAAGTTTTCTTAATATATTCTTTACTATTTAATCACATTTCATTCAAAAGAAAAACATCACTTTGAATTAGATTTTTTTCATGCCACTCTTCTGCAGAAGTAAAGTAAAAACTCAAGTATTTTAACAAATACTAACTGAAGATTCTTCTGACTTCTAAATGATTCTTTTAATTCACTGTTTTTTTATTATTATTATTATTATATTCTTCTCCTGAAGAGCCACTTCAGTCAAGGTTTATTGTGAAAAGCCAGTTGCTTAGCCAGACATCGCACTCAGTGAATGCAGTCTTTCATCAAAGCTGCTCAGTTTCTAAGACTTTTAATGCAATCTTCTCTTCCACAAGGTTAAATCCTTGAACTGTAAAGCCTTGAATCTGGATCCATGTCTGGTTCTCTGCCAAAATAGAATAATTTCTTTCCTGGGCCGTAACCTGCATCATCAGAAAATGTCATCAAAATCTGTCCTTCACTTTTTGAGTTATGCTGCTGACTGACAAAGGGACAGAAATATCCCTCAAAATAACTTAGTTTGTTGCTATTTCCTGAAAATGAACAACAGAATCATAGAAAAGTAACTGAATGGATTTCTACAGGCACAAAATGAAGAAGTTCTGGCCTTATCAGCTCTATTGGTCGATATATATATACAGAATACAGAATTTGTCCTCTTCAGTTACCCCATGCTGGGGAGCAGTGGGTGCTTTGAGGAGCACTTGGAAAGCAAGGGTTTTGTTAGACGTACCACAGCCAGCCAGATGGGATTCTACATGTAAAGAAAAACAATTCTTAAAAGCTAATCGTAATATTATATATTAGTTTGGGTTAAGATATTAAAACACATTTATATACAAAGAAGTTATTGACCAGAGTACAGAGTACCCCCCCCACCCCCCACCCCGAAGGACACTGAGGAGAGTTTTTACCATCACAGAAAATCCCATAATTAACTTTTAAATTTAAGCAAAAAGTAAAAAATGTTATACCACAGCCAGCCAGACGTACCACAGCCAGCCAGATGGGATTCTACATGTAAAGAAAAACAATTCTTAAAAGCTAATCGTAATATTATATATTAGTTTGGGTTAAGATATTAAAACACATTTATATACAAAGAAGTTATTGACCAGAGTACAGAGTACCCCCCCCCCCCCCCACCCCGAAGGACACTGAGGAGAGTTTTTACCATCACAGAAAATCCCATAATTAACTTTTAAATTTAAGCAAAAAGTAAAAAATGTTATACCACAGTTGTTTTGGACTATTGGTCATGGGTGACTTCAGGTCAAGAGGCACAAACACACTGAACCTCAGACAGAGGCAGATACATAGACTTGGTCGAAGGCCACTTGACAAAGAAAAGATAAAGCACAAAGAAGGAGGAGATGTCTGGAAAAAAAAACAAAAAACCTAGTCACGTCAACTTCCTGCAGGGTGGAGGGCAGGGGGTTTGGAACAAACTCATCCACAAGGACAGAGGAGATGAGTGATAAGATGAAAACACTGATTTGTTGATTCAAGGTTGTAGCACGGTGGACCGAGTTACACTAAATACATTTGGGGGGAAAACGGTGCGACAGAGAACAAATATACCAGTAAACAATGTTACAGATTACAATGTTTGGAGTTATAATCAGGCAACGACAAAGAGGAGGAGTTTGTTGTTTATTATGTTTACAGTATGTGCCCTGAATAAAAAATATTTCTAATGCGAACAGTGAATTAAAGATGATCATAGGGTGTTTGTTCAACCCAAATCACAAAGATTTTTACATCAGTGATATATTAAGCATATTTATAGGGGGGAAACCAGTTGGGCATCACATGTCCTTTCACCTATTCCTGGTGACAACACGACTCATTGATCTCTGTCATGTATTTTAAAATATACAGAAATACTGCTTTAAAATTGAATTATTCTCAAGTTTGTATTCAGATTTCTTTCTTTCTCTCTGTGTGTGTTTACTGGGTTACTTGTGTGTGTGTGTGTGTGTGTGTGTGTGGCAGTGACAGGTGACAGGTCTTCTGGGCCAGCGAACTTGACAGACATGAACACATCACTGTCTCCATGTGACTACTCTGACAGGCTGCCAGGGCCAAGCCACGGCAGACGTAAGTAACACGTTACAGCCTGAGCGCTAACACACTCTGACATATGCTCCCTGACATATGGGCTTCCCACTCTTTCTGCGATGTACCACTGAAGATTTGTGATGAATGTTCCTTCTTTTAATCCAGGGTTTTTGATGGATTTTTTTTCCTTCGGTCTTGGAAACGACATCTTAAATGTATTTGAAACACCACTTACTGAGATGACAAATTAAGTATTCGCAGCAGAAAGATCTCTCAAGTCATTGGGTTCTGTTAATCAAGTTTCAATTTAGAGAAGGAAAAAGCCCATGTGCTTTATCGTTAGCAAACCCAATCAACAGGCTTAATGGGAGCTAATAGGCTTCTGTCATCATGTGAATGCAGAATATAAGGGCATTAAAAACTTAACTTAAACCTCCACTTCTTCCTTGTCTCATTCAGCAAAGGCATCATCAATCTGTGGTGTTTAAAACCTGCTGGAGTAATATGCTGTTGTGGTTCTGCTGCTGTTATGTATATTATAGTCATTTTATTCCCCCTGCCCATTCATCCTTAGGACCAACATTACAAGGATAAATTTCGACCATGAGCTTGCATGTAAATCACAGGCCTTCCATCTTCTTTATATGACTATGCCATTTATAGCATGTGTCCATAATGATAACCCATCAATCACTTAACAAGTTCCCAGCACTTATTGCATAGACCCTAAAAGAAATCATCTCTAATATGAAACATAAAACAAATTGTATATCATAATACTCTCCCAAAGGTAATGTGTGATTTTTTTAAACATAAGGAATAATGTAATTTGATAAACAGAGTTTTGTGGTTTGTTAAAAACAGACACCATGGATACACAGTGTATGCTACCGCCAAGCTTTTACACACCAGTAATTCATTGATTACACGTCCATAAAAAGCACCACTGACATTACAACTGACACTGTGATCCTGTGTAAAACTGACGTCATGGCCTACAGATCATGTATAAGGTTTTTGTTTTTTTGTTGTTTTTCATATCACAAACAAACATCAGAATAAGGAGCTATCGGTATGCTAACATCTATAACTTATTGTGGGTATATTTATCAATAATCACACAATTTGGTGGTAGAAATAAAAAATAAAGTAAACAAGTACACAAATGTGTATCACACACAAAAGTAACAACAGCGTTTGCTTTGTAAATAGTTTGCTTTTAAACAGCAGCGTCCACATTACACAGAAGCAGTTAAAACATTCCTTGTGTATCTCAATTTAAATATTAATGTAGTACAATTAAATATAAAACTGAAGCTGTTTGCCCCTGCTAGGACACTATTTCATTATCTGTTTAAAAAAAAACAAGTTACCCTCAGGGTTCAGGGCCACAGTTATAACAGGCACCTTCAGAGCAACAGCAAGTTAACATGTGTATTAGATTTGAGTAATATTACAGATTCAATAACGTATAAAATTCACCTGGTTTTTTGTTTTGTTTGGTTTTTTTTTAGAAAATATTTTCTGACATCTCTAAAATCCTTAGTGATAAGAACTGAGTGGAATGGACATTTGATTGTATTGATACATTTGACATACACTGTTGTGATATCTTGTGATTATAATTGATTCGACTTCCAACACTCACCTTTTGATACCAAGGGTGTTTAACTGATGATAGTACTACAGTGTAAAGTATTTCATATAATAATGTTGTTATAATTTATGAATGAGTTGATGTGTGAGTCAGATTCTGGTTGATAGTGTTGATCGAGAGGTCAGCTTCAGTTCACAGTGATGGAGACTTTGGTTAATGTTATTTTTAACCACACTCTGGAACCGGAAAGTCTTACCTTATTAAATCTCCTGGAATTTAACAATTTTAGTGTTGTGTTGTCAGGACTCTTTCATTTTGTATTTGGTTAATATGGACAATGAAACACCTTTATTGTAAATAGGGCTAAACAGAAACAGAGTAGAAACACCTTTATGTCATTGTCAAGCACAGTGTTACAGTGCAATGAAACCAACCTCTTGTTGTGTTTTCAGCAACTTTTCTTTCTCAGCTCAACTGTTAAAACTGCAGCCCTTTGCATCTCCTTCATTACATCTTTCCAGAAAGCTGTTGATTGCAGCAGATTATTTCCAGATTACAGTTGTTCCAAATTTTCAGCAGCCACTTTCCTGAGTGCAGCTAAGTGGAGAAGACGGCCTAATGCCCCAATTTAGATTCACTTCATTGGCTACCGAGGCAATTTAGGATTGACTGTAAAATTTTATTGATCAGCACTTGCCGCACTTTTCTCCTTAGAGCAGTCTAATCACACCCTACACACAGACCCACGGCTGCTGCAATAAAATGGCCATTTGAGCCGCATTGTACATACAGACAGATTTTGTAGACATGATCAAGTGTCTCATTATGCCCCCTCCCTCACACAGCTCTGTAACCTCTGACACACTTTGGATCATCATTCTCACAAATGAATACGCTAAACCTGGCTAATGCTCATTATTATCTCCTCCTTTCTCAGTTCCACGCTCAACAAATGAAGTCAGCGTCTTGAATACTTTATAAAGCGAGTGTTGTGCCCATTAAGCTGTGGGTCACACTGGTCTTAGCCTCCAAAGCTCATTAATACCACACAGACCCAGAATGCAGTAATTACCCTGCACATACACTACCACCACAGGCCAGCTATAAAAAGAGAAAAAACAAGCAGCGGTGGAGTTGAAGTCCATCATGTGTTGGCCAGTGAGCCACTCCATGATAGGATGAGAAAAGACATGGCACAATGACTTTGCTTGGCTCCAAGGCTGAGGAAAGTCACACCGCAGGGACCTCCTGCATCGCCATTGTCTGTGCAGCCTCATTCTGGAGGGTAATAGCTATTTGGATGAGCGCTGCTGTGTTACCTTTTTCAAGCATTGTTGGTGTGCATGTGCGTGTATTACCCATCTGTTACCAAATGTTAATGTGCGACAAATGAACCCAACATCTGCAGTGCTTGGGAAGTTATTGTAACAAATGTGATTCCCTGCTCATCTTTATTGGTGGATGTTGTGTGGTGACCCAGTGTTGGGTCAGACGGAAGGAGAACCAGGTGGCCATCTGAATGGAATTGACACATTAAGGATCATAAACCATTCATGGTCCACTGAGTCCTGACTGTCAGAGGAGATGATGGGACTCTCGTGAGAGCTGTCTGCTTGGCAGTGTCCAAATTTGACAGCAACACTTTATCATGTCCACTAGATTCATGTGAAAGTCAATGCCGACTTTGGAGGACTGTAGAAATAGACTTACAGTCTGCACCGCATTTTGGATCTGAATCAAATGATTGTATTTATTCTTTTGAAATCTTCTTTTCCTTCTTTTTCCTTCAGAGGTCACTGTAGTGCCTTTGTCTTACTGTCAACAATAACTCTTACTTACATTCTTCGTCCTCATTACTAGCAGCTCCATCTCTTCTTATGTTACATTTTAATTATCCTAATTTTGAATTCATTTTCATCTCTGCACTGCTCAACCTTAGCTGTAATCATCTCTGTCAATTCCAATGAAAAAATCATCTTAAACTGTGTTGCCTGGCAGCATAGCTGGTGTCATTAACCTTTAATTTTAACATTGGTTATATACTTTTGTCTACCAGGTGGTGGTATAGCTAATTCCCGATGTACATGAAATCGTCTTTTTACACCATCTGCAAGTATTAGCAGTCAAACTGCTGTTTTGCTTCCCTGATATAGACATGTATGTTCTGCACCACATTGTAGTGCTTCACTGCCACTCCTTTCTTCCTTAACTACAAACTTACTTAGTTCCCTTTTTTTACAAGCATGGTTCCTATTATTAATTTTAGATTGTAATTAAACTAATTCAATATAATTAATTAATCCATATTCAACTCTATATAGAATAAAACAACCCCAGTGGGAGTTGAATTAAAGAAATACTGTATATGTAACACCTCAGGGTCAGGGTATGGATGACTTGACTGTTAAGTTGCAATTTTGTTCAATGGTGATCCTCCCCACAAGTACAATTCCAGTTGAAAGGACTCCAATTAATCTGGTAAAATGAAGCCATCACAAAGACTGATGAAACTATGGTTGAGTGGTGAGGGGAGAAGATGCAGCACTTTGAGCACCAAGCACTGCCCACTGGGATGGAAAAATAATCTCCGAGTATCACATTACCGTAGAGTGAGCTTCATGATTTGGGCTGATTTGTTTCTAAATCTCCTCCTTCATTCATTCAGACGTCACATAGAACAATAGGATGAGGTCAAACTATGCTGTAATTAGCAAAATTGGTGAAAGAAAAAAAATAAAGCTGAACATTAGATTCAGCTGAGGTGGTTATATAAATACAGGAAACAACCAGACATAAAATTCTGTTGTTGTTGTTTTTTTAGCTTAATCGCTTCAAGATAAATTTGAGAATAAAATTAAAAGTATTTTTTTATATCAGTCATTAATTGTGTAATTAATTTGCTACAGTTTATTATCCCTTCAAAAGTAAAACACAAAATACCTGGTGTGATGGAAATTACTTTTTTGATGATAACTTGATAAGGAAATAAACACTAAAGAATTAATTATTTTAATTGATTATCTTTTAAATTGTCAAAGCCCATGTTTCTTTTTTAGATCCCTGTGGAAAAGAAATTCTCAGATGAGAAAAAATGCCAGAATTAAATTAATGTATTTTTTACATTTAATTTTCAGAACAAGTTTCTCTTTAAACACACAAAATGCTTGAGCTAAGATACCATGAGTGGGTGTGTTCAAAAGACTATTTATCAATGATTCCTGCAGCAATCAGATGTCTTTCACTGTCAATCACTGATGATGGTCCTTACATGGAGCTTGATTGTTCCTCAAATTGTAAGTTGCTTTGGCGTTAAAAGCGTCTGCTAAACGTTATGCAATGTAATGTAATGATGAGCAGTTCCATTTTTTTCCCACTAACTTAAATCAGGAAGTAACTTCCGAAACCAGAGCTTCTCTGATCATCTCTTTATCTTTGTACGACTAGAACTTAAACTCAGTGAGTTTCCACTGTTGACTTTAGAGTTGAAGTAGAGGTAAAATCTGTTTACAGCAGCAAATTCCTTCTATTAAAATGTCAATATTTGGCTGCAACACATCGATCACTGTGTCCTATCAACAGCATGACAACATATTGCAATATTGACATTTTGTCCTTTCCCTATGGAGAACAGTTTTATTGACAGCCATTTTGATGGTGTCCAGGAGCCCTGCTGTGCATTCATGATGTTAGCCAGGGTGTAATAATGTACAGTGATACGAACGGGAATGGCGAGTGCGGATGTGTTGCTACCTTTAGCTTTTGTCCTAAACAAATGAATTCCATGCCTGGTGATCAGGTCCATGTGGAAAACATGGTTCCACCCCAGTCTCTTCCAGAGTGAAGAATGAATGTAGCCTACACGCTCGGCTTGTCCTGATCTAGTGGGAATGGTACCAATATAAAAATGTTAATGTTCAGCCTCTAACAACTGAGACCCAGGGGACGAAGACATGGGAATGTTTTAAGCAGAAGTCTTTGGGCACTCATTAATATCATTATCATTACCACTAATGCCACACTCTCATTTGACTGCCTTTAAAGGGAATAACCGGTTCGCTTTATACAATATACACTGCCATAATGATGATGAAGAATTTGCACTGGACTCAAGATTCAGAATTTTATAATTATTATTTATTCTAGTATTTTATGAATTATCTTATGATTATGTAGAAGTTTTCCATCAGTTAACACTGAACTGTTTGATATGATGTATATTGTTGTAAAGTCAGTCCTTATTCAAACTGAAGGTGTAAATGTTGGCACAAAGTGGCTCATAAAAATACTTGAAAGTGCAATATTACCTTTATCAGTTGTCTTGGA